ACGCAGCCTCTATCCATACTAAGGCCACTATCGGAAATTCTGTAGAACTTAAAAGTTTTGGAACCATTGTGTTCAAAGAAATAATTACAAAAAGGGAATGTGTATATATTTGTATACATACACTAAGGACCAGGCCAACAAGGCGCACATTTGTGACAAAAATATTGTATAGGTATTGCCATTGTTCCTGTCGTCAACTATACATTTCATTGATGCTGCAATGTGTTACTCAATGAATTATTAAACGTGTTAAGACCACAATTGAGAAAAAAAAAAACTTGTAGTCTTGTGGAAAACCATATTGTGAGGAATTAATGTGGACCATGGTTATTTTTTTCCCTTTGTTTCTTTTGGTCACAGAATTCCTGTCGTCAACTGTACATTTCATTGATGCTGCAATGTGTTACTGAATGAATTTATTAAACGTGTTAAAACCACAATTGAGAAAAAAAAAACTTGTAGTCTTGTGGAAAACCATATTGTGAGGAATTAATGTGGACCGTGGTTATTTTTTTCCCTTTGTTTCTTTTGGTCACAGAAGTAGTACATAAAATATTTATCCTGTCAGCATTAGCATAACGTTGCCTTTTTCCATTCATTTCACATCATTTCTTGCTTTCAGGGCAATCCGTGGATTCTCTGGAGCCTCATCTGGTTAATTATTGTCTTGACCCCATGCTGTGTGACACTGTTGGAATCTCAGGAGATGACTTGCTGTATCCCAGCAACTCGAATCACTTTTTCGACCCTGAAATCTTTATCGACGAACCCACGCTGCCTGCCAGCCTCTAATATGCTCCCTCATCCTGCCAAGATTGCTTACTTCACACTTTCAGTTTTTCGTTCCTCTCCAACTGTTGTTTGGGACTCGTGGTTTAAAAATATCAGACATCCAAGAAATAAATGGCACATTTGGAAATGGTGTTTGTGGTCGAGTAATGCACTGTATACATACAGTATACTGTTTTGTGTGGACTCCCACTTCTAATTGTGGAATCAATGCCAAATGTTGAAAAAGACACATTGTAGGTGCTCAGATTTACTGAAAAGGATTGTGGTGGAACCACAATAGTACCGGTATATAAGATAAGAAAACCTTTATTAGTGTCGCAATGGAGAAATTCCCAATTCACAGCAGCAAAGTTATGAAAGGAAGAAGTAGAACAACAAATAGTAACACACTCGGAATTCAGTACAGACCTCCTCTTTAAGTCACGATAGGCTATACTATATTATATACCTACTCATCACTGTGCAACATGTCATTTGGATTTGAAATTCTAGATGCAGTGGATGCAATTTTTTTTTATTTTTAACCATTCATCCCATTTTCTATAGCTGTTGTCCTTGTTAAGGTTGTGGGTGAGCTGGAGCCAATCCCAGCTGACTTTGAACGAGGCTAAATGTCGATTGACTTTGTCCGCGGCTGAAATCATTCCATGCATCTAAATAGCAAGTACGTACTGTATGCAAAATACGATCGGAACCAAACGCGTTGTGAAAAGCATAGACAGTAAATACAAAATTCAGCTCAATGTACAGGTAGGACTACAAAGTGATTGCAACAACTTTTAAATAGTAGGGATGGTCTTCCATGATGTAACAAAGGAGCTTGAACTCTAAATCTTATATAGGGTGAAATAGTCACCTCGAAATTCATTTGCGTTTTCGCTTGTACACAATATTCACCTTTTTTAAACTTGCCTAGATAGTTTCCTAATAAGTCACAAGTTCCTCAATTGACAGTAGAAAATGTATCGCATTGCACCAAACGGGAAATCCCTGCTGATGCTGCAATACGATGGGGTTTCATTCATTACGTGACATGATGTAACAATGGAATATAATGACCAAGAGAGTTTGTTGCATCCTTAAAGGGTCTAGTAAACAAACTTAAATATGCATTCAAAGCAACCACTTCACAGTAAACATCTCAAATGTGGCTGATCAATAAATAAAAGCACATGGAGCATCTGAAAGGAAGTTGAGATGTCAAATGTTGACATGAGGATCTTGAACCTGTTTGTTTCTTTCTCATGGCCACTTTCACGTCATTTGCCGGTGACATTTCTATGTTAGATTCTTTACTTAGTACTTAGATTCTTTATTTAGTAATAGTTCTTAAATTAAAGGTTAGGTTTCGTAACAGGTGGAATCTGTCTCGGAATCATCGTAGCTATAAATGATGTCATCTCTGATTCAAATTGTCTATTGACAAGCGTTAAAAGCAAGCTTTAACAGTACGCCACAGTCGCTAAATCTCCGCAGGTGTCAATAGATCACTTTCACGGCATTCCAAGGAAATCACGATATCCCATTACTGGTGAGCTTTTTCTTTCGAATTGGCCTGTGGTCTACTCATGTGGTGCTTGGGGGGGCTACATGATGCCCACAGACACTATGTTCGTGACCCCTGCTTTACAGTATGCAAACGTGGTCTACTCATGTGGTACTTGGGGGGCTACATGATGCCCACAGGCACTATGTTCGTGACCCCTGCTTTACAGTATGCAAAGAAAATGTTAATTGAATCTGTTTCAGCATTTAGTAAGGTTTTACGTTGAGGGTATTTAGGCGCTCTTCATCCAGAGGCATGTCAAGGGTTTCACCGCCCTGGTGAGCAGCAGTTGGTAGGCCTTTCGAAATTGTCTGTTCATGACAGCGTAGAGAACTGGGTTGATGCAGCTGTTGAGCCAGGTGAGGTTTGCACAGAACATGTGCAACACCTGCGGGGCACGACCTTGCTTATCGACAATGTTGAGTATCAGGAAGGGGACAAAGCAAAATACAAAACACAGGAAAACCGCAAAACACATGCGTGTCACACGCTTAAATTCTGTATCGTCTCCTGAGGTGGTTGTGTGGGATGCCGCAGAAGCGGGCGCAGGTGCACTTGACTGTGGCTTACTGACAATGTCAGGCTTCGTTTTGCATTCTCCCAATTGATTTGTTGGCTCGGCGTGTGTTTTTGGAGAGGCACTGTCACTGTTGATGTCCTCCTTACTCTGTGCGGATTTGCACTGGGAGCTCAGCTCACTACTCGCAGTGGCCACCCCACTCTCCACACTAATGTCATCAGTGACTGGTGCCGTCAGGGCTGGCTTCCTCTTGGAAGACCGCCGGCTGAACCTGTAGCGGACCAGGGCTTTTGACGCAACCCGGACGCGCCGGTAAATGAGGAGGTAGAACGTGCCGACGCAGGCCAGTCCCACGAAGAAGTAGAAAAAGAGCAGGATGGTGGTGTAGGGGCGGCCCCTGGTTCGATGGAAGCTGCATGTGCACACTTGAGGCACAAACACAAAAACAGACCAAAGTGGGCCGAAGCTGGCCATGCCGAGCGCCCACGTCGACAGCAGGAGGGAAACCAGACCCCAGTTTGAAAAAACACGGTCAAACAAGGCCCTTTTTGCAACCAGGAGGTAGCGACTCATTGCCACCAGGCAGAGGGTGATAATAGAGACCGAGTTGGACAGGAATAGAAGCAGGCCGAAGGTCCTGCACCAGAGCGCGCCGCTGCGCCATCTGAGATGCAGGTAGGAATCGACCGAGATGGGCTGCAGTATGGTGCAGTAGAGAAGATCAGCGATAGCCAGGTTGACGATGAGCACGTTGAAGCGGGTCCTCAGTTGTGAGTCCAAAGCAAAAGCGAAAATGGTCATCAGGTTCCCAACCGTGCCAGTGATGGTAACGACGCATCCCCACAACACGGCAAAGTAGCGGTAACCTTCGACTGAAGCGCTGTAGCAGGAGAAGTTGTCCTCCGTTTGGTCGGTGACGTTCAGCAACATCCTGTCAAATGATTGGGCTTTTGTCATGTCCTAGAAAGTGCAATTCTCACAAATTCCCATCGTCAAGAAATGGTCAGTCTAAAACAGTGTTTCATAATCATCACAATGAGTGTAAAAAGCGTGTATCCATATCTTCTGTGATTTAGCGGAAGAACATTTAATTCTTCTGCATGTCACTGTACACTATATTGTTGTAAATAAAAGATTTTGGGACAAAAAAGTCATATTATATCAATGATATCTTAGGTAGACTAGTGGTTAGCAATAACTGGTTACACGTTTTACCGACAGCAAATTCTTAAGTGTTAATTGTTTGTTGTCAATTGTTGTCAATGTCAATGGTTAATTTCATCTCTGTTCTCTGGTGAGATTCTCAAATTTGAGATGTGTTCCCTTTCAGTTTTTTTTCCATTTACTTAGCGAACACGTTCTTCCTCTACCGAAAGAGGAACAAGTTTGTAGGACAGCATGACTCCAAAATAGCAGTTAAAGATGACAAATTACTTTCACTTGTGTTGGATTTCAGCTAGGTCATTTGACACCCCCCCCCCGCCCCCCAAAAAAAGTAAAACATATATATATATTTTTTTTATATGTAATTGCTTTGCGTGTTGGTAATAGTTCAATAAACATAAGCATTGGCTCAAGATATGTGTTTGCTTTTCATTTTAATGATGCAAACGTTGAGGCCCGGGAGACATGCAGTCATCTGCAAATAGGGTGAAAAAACAATGTTGACCTTTTCTGAAGCGCTGATACACAATCTTATTTATTCTACTTAAATACATACGTGTGTGCAAAGTAGAAAAAGATATTGTGTCATACCAACCATGGGCTGCTTAGTCTTAAAAATATACAGAAAGCTAGTCATAAGCATTTTGGAAAACTGATGGATATGAGTTAAGATACACAGATCCAAAAAGCCTTCTTGAATTTGATTTATTTTAATACGTCTCATGAGTATAGATTATTTAACACGGAGTGTATTAAATTTCCACTACAATTGGAGCTGAAACACAACATGAAAGTCAAAGGCAATTTTCAAACATTTTCTTACCTCAAAGCCAAATATTTCTGCCGCTTGTCAGAAAAGTCAACACAAAGCGCTTTCGATGCACTGACCCGCTCCACTGTTTGGCTTCCTGTCGGCATTTTAATTATGCGTGTTGCTAAAGTACCCTTGGTATGATGTAATTGGAGGTCGGGTTTTTCCGCCTTCTGTCATGAGAATTTCAGGAAGAGAACGATGTTGCATACATTCTTTTCGCCCTTTTAGCTTCAAATGTAAGTAACAGATTAAGTTTTCTTTTTGTTCAGATATTTAAGAAAATGGCGACTATATGTCCTAATTAGACCATGGGGTCTCTTTCAGACCCATCCGTGTTTTACCTCAGTGACCAGAGGAAAGGGCTCTTTGCACACTACATTCAGGTATTGTCTCAAACACAAGATCCAATCTCATTTTAGAGCTGCTTTCCAAAGCACGAAATGGTCGTTGACTCATAAATGCAAAGCGAAATTAAGTGATCACAGTGCTGCGTTAAGAAGACAAGCACGTAAACTGACGATAATGGTTAATTGTTAACAATACGGCGTACCACAGCAATCGCAGCAACGTTTCCATGGAAAATGCCCCCTGGTGGACGTGAGCAGTTTATGCTCGCCAAATCGATCCTTGGACTTCAACAGCACTTGAATGACCTGGTGAGTCAAAAATGTCATCGTTTGCGGGCAAAAATCAAGGAAATGGTGATTGAAAAGTCAGAGTTTCACTGGTATCAGTAGTGATAATTGAAAAGGTAAAACGTTTAAGAATCTAGAGTTTCGACACATTTTGTTGTATTTATGTTTATGCTTAAACTTCCCATTTACATTACATTTGACTGCTGATTTTTTTTTCCCCAAAATGGCGCCGTAGTTGGCGTTTGTTGTCATTCGTGTGGACCCGTTGTGGGCTGTTCTCAGAGTTTTGGCCGTGCCATTTGTCAAAAGAGAAAAATATGTGCTTGATAACCTACCTTCTCGGCAGCATGCGCGAACCACCACTTATTCTGATTGTGGGTTTGGCGGCCCTCCTTTGTTTTAGTACAATAGTTTTACCAATTGATAGTGCTGTTGCTCTCTCCAATTTATGCTTTTTAGTGAGTGACTGTGCAATCTGAGGTGAGGCTGGCTGCTTGATGCCACACGTGAACTAGTCTGCACTTGAGCCTGACGACGATATGACGATTTCTATCACGGAGGCCATAAAAAACGTTTTTATCGTGCCAATTATCTCCTAGACCTGTCATTACTTGTCCTCTGTTAGGCGAATATTTACATATCTTCTGGCGGATTGACTGCAACGGTGAATAATGAGAATGACAGAGGCAGATTGACCTGATAGACAAAAGCGTTAGTTGGCTTGTTCCACACAACTGCCACAAATTGGCAAACTGAGCCACAAACCAAGGAAGTGATAATCCACCACATTTAACAAACCTATCGTGCAAAAGTCAATCTGAAAGTTAATGACAACGAATTAATGATGAGGTGGGTGGACGCACATAGGGGCATATTCTACCATGTGCTTAAATCAGAAAACGCATGGTGCTCTGGAGTTTTTTGGCTGCAGAGATTCTCCCATCGACTCAAGTGTGTCACTTAGACATGGCTACTATTTGCCTTTTCTGTTTACATTACTACTTTCGCCTTACCAATGTATTTCAACTTAAAGCACATACCTTAAAAGGGGGGGGGCGGGATACAAAATCATTTATTTATTTATTGTTTTACTCTTCACTTGCAGGTGAAGCTCTGCCCCCCCCCCCCCCCCCCACCCCACATTCGTGCTCTTTGGGGGCCGGGGCAGATCGTCAGCTGCCGGGATCTGAAGCAAAAAAGCACATTCCTTAAAAGGGGGGGGGGGGGGTAAAAAATCATTTTTTTTTTTTTTTTTTTTCTCTTCCCTTGCAGGGGAAGCTCCGCCCCCCCCCCCCCCCCGTGACCGCACATTGTGTCTCGTAGGAGTCAAGGCAAAGACTTGCTGTAACAAGGTAACATGCACAAATGAATGTCAAGTTGAGAGATTCAGTTTGGTCCATTCACTATATCTGACTTTCGACATGAGGTACACCTGCCCAATGTAATGATGATCAAATCCTAGACTGTAAAACTGTTTTGCTGTTTTGGATTTGACTTGCTGAATTATATTTTTTAAATTTCCAACCAAGTTTTGGAGTTTTATTCAGTGATGTTGTCCAATCTCCTACTGTTAAAATACATCTCAACTGTGGACAAATAAATAGAAATAAAACATCTGTCCACTTTCAGTAAAATCATTAACTGAGTTTAATGATTTAATTTCAACAATTTGGAAGCCCCCCACATTTGCCATTTGTCATTTTTTAAAATAGTCAACATTTACAGCAATGTTTCTACACATCACTTCTAAAAACAATGAATATGTCTTTTGACTCGTTTTTTTATTGCATTTCTTGCATTCACATAAAAAATAGAGCAGAAAGTATTGCTAGTTTCTGTTTGCTGAAGTTTCCCACTAATGTGTGACATGCTGCCGTGACAGTTTTCATTGGGATTCTTCAAAGTCATGTTGGATCACCAAGCAGAGCAAACAAACCATTGCTTTATCCTACCACACACCTGCAAAGCTATCTAAAAGGATGTTTTTGCTACTTGTGTGTGTGTGTGTGTGTGTGTGTGTCTGTGTGTGTGTTTGCGTGTGCTTGTGTTCCTTATGTATGTATAACATTACGCTAGTGTTTTTATATTTTTAGAACATATTATCATTACTATTATTATCATTATATGTCCATTATTATAATATTTACGTTTGTATTTACGTCTACTTGTGTGTGTTTATGAGCTGCATATGTCCATATTGCAAATAGCTTCTATTGTATTCCTCCCTCATTGACCTGCTGTGCTCACAGTGTTGAAAGTCTTTCTCTGAGATACTGAAACTTTTCTGTTTTGTGCAGTGAAAGGTGAATTAAAGCATTTTAAATGCATTTAACATTACATGCAGACGTTTACCCCAGTGCCTACTCACATTATTTTTTTTTTAAGCACAAGTCACCAGGGAAAATCTGGGGAATCAAATCTGGGGTTTTATCTGACAATTAACATGTAGACCTAAACCTAAAGATACTTGCCTAGTCTTCCCTGATATTGTTTTAACTTTTTTTTTTCCTTTTCTCCAACATCTAATCAGACCACGAATATAAACACTGATAGCTGCATAGTACTTCTTCACCACAACTACAACTTTGCCAACAACCCATTGACATGGTTAAGGTGCTTCATTGACTATCTTCTTTAAGACGTATTGTATATTGTGTTCCTCTTTTACACCCCCGTTTGTGTCCCACAGAGGTACGTACAGACCCCCTAAGCCAGCTGGGAAGATCTAGACATACAGTACAGAGAAATGTTGCAGGAGACTCCAGCAGCAACACAAATTCATCGACCACAAAAAAGTGGGGGACCCAGTACACAGTGATTGCTAACAGCTAATATCAGAGGAGATCACGATATGGAACCCAGCGGGCTTTTTTTTTTTTCTTATGAAATTGATGCATCGGATGTGGAGAAAATTCGAATTGTTGAAGAGGTAGGGTTTGGAATTCAGCGGTGAAGCCAGCTGCAAAGTGAGAGTCCATATAATAGTCCACTTCTTTGTCTTTGCAGGGTGATGATCGGTGATTTGTTGGTATTTTATCGATTCAGGGCAGTTGGGAAAGATGAAAATGTATGTTGTCTCTCGGGTCGTCAAATACTTCTGGCTCTGCCTGTTAGCGCAACAGCAGCGGTAGTCTGCAACTACAGTATGCACCATTAAGCGTCGCTCACTAGCTTGACTCAAATGGAACGCCACCTGGGTTGAGCTTGCGGCTTCACAGTGTGCTTCTGACTGACTCCTCCTTAGGCTCGCGCATTCAGTACGGAGTGAAGAGAATTGGCCCGTGCGTAGTGCGAATGGGCCCCGGGGCGGGCCTCAGCAGGCTAAGGGGTGCCCCCTGTAGCAGGTGGTGATGGGGGTGGGTTGGCGGGCCAGGTGGTCGCAGTGCCAGGTGATTTGAGGATGCCGCAGCAGCCATGGCTGCCGCAACGGCCAGAGGATTTGGTAAGAGCCCCGCCCCCAGAGTTTTTGGAAGTTCCTTTGAGAGAGAAGGAAAATGTCATGTGACTTCTCGATATAGTGACGAAAAGACACATGGGACACTAAGCAATTGATGAATTGTAGTAATTGAGATAGTGACGAAAACACACATGGACAAAAGTACTGGGACACTAAGCAATTGATGAATTGTAGTAATTGATAGTGAAGTCTGCCACAAAACTAATGTCCATTTCGCGAAGTAAAGGTGAATGCTCTACCATGAAGTCAACACGCTTCTTGTGACGACTCAGTAGAGGATTGGGTTTCCCCGCAACTCCATCTCGATGCCTCCGGCTGGAAATATGCTGCAAGGTGAAAAGAAACCGGACAGTTCAGAGAAATGGATTGCTTTTCTTTGCTCTTTGATTTTTTTCCCCCCCTTAAAAAAAAAAAAGTCTCACCTGTTTAAGCTGTAGCTCAGAGTTGACTCTGACATTGCAGATCTCACAGTGGAAGGTTCTTTCCTGAGTGTTGGAGTCAGACGACAGCTCCCCGCCCTGCTCAGGGGTGCCTTTCAGACCCAGACGTGGGTAGGCTTTAATGGGCCCCAGTCCACTCCGTGCTTCCAAAATTGTTTTGTGTTTTGTACCTGGAGTGATTAAAAAGTGTGACGGAATCCAGGTCATATTCACATTTTATGATAGTTTGAAATGGAAAAAAAAGCTATTTGCAATATTGATTTTAAACCACTGGGTGGCAGTAGTGCTCCTGCTTTATTTCTGTCCTATCAACTTGAGATTCACAGGAGCCATTATCCACCGATTCCAATTATGCATGTTCCTCATTTTTGGTGCATGTGCTTGTGGAGCTGCGCATATGTACAAATTACCTTTGTTATGGGCCTCCAGCTGTGAGAGGGAATTAACTGCAACTTTGCACAAGGAGCAGTAGAGAAGCTTCTTGGCTTTCTCTTCCTCAGACTCTCCAGAGGGAGGGCTGGGAGCCGGAGACGGGTTGTCAGGCAGCAGCGCCCCTGCTGAGTCCGCTAGTGGCGCGCTGTCAATGGCGGCCGGCGAGGGGGAGGATGGCAAAGGTGCGCCCGTCGACTCCGAGAAGGGACACGCTGCTTCGGCTGAGCTCACTGTGGGTGTCGAGATGCGGCTCGGGGTCAAAGGTGACTCAGAGTTGGCACGGGATTGGGTGTCGTCTATAACCAGCACATATATTTCCGGTTAGTAAGCGGCCGTCTAAAAGTCCCTTCAACACATTGGAACTTTATATAAATGTGTGAAAATAACGAGACAGTGCTTTGCTGTCATTGCATGTACTGTCTACCGTCCGTTAAATAGTAAGGGGACAGTTGTGCAACAGCAGGACGATATGGATATGAGAGAATAATATGCGCCGCCTGATGCACGAGTAGGATGCTGTGAACTACCCATAGAGGAGTGAAAGCTCCGCAGCAGATGTGTTGAGCATCTGGGTCGTGTTGTGCCAGATTTTGTGTCTGTTTGTGTGCGGATCATCACACGTCAGAGTGACAGGTGATGCTCACCCTGCTTATTCGGGTCAGGATCCAGGTTGAATGGTGAGGGACCCGACGGTGAGGGTGAAGTGGTGGGGGGAGAGTGCTGCTTGTCGCCATCCTGAAGACGACCTGTCTTGGACGTCTCTATGCCCTTGATCCTGCGAGCGTGTCGGTTGCCCTTGTAGTGAGCCTCTGCCTGACTCTGGAAGAAAACACAATTGGGTGGATGTGAAGATTTGTGAGGATGTTCGTTTCACTTGCATCATCGTCACTCTTAATCTGCCTGCTGACGTCCAAGTGAGTCACAGAGCCAGCGGGGGCCGTGTGTCTGTCACATAAAAGGCAATTCTAGTTCAATCATCTGAAGAGGTTTGCCTTTTTTTTTTTTTTTTTGGTGGGGGGCCATTTATTAAATCTCGCAGAAGGTTAATCTGACATGGCCATTTGGTAGACTTTCAAATTTCCTCACTGTAATTTTGATGTGTCAAACTCCTAAGAATAAATCATCAAACTTCCACTGTCTCCAGTGTTGTTTGATGACTTTATGGGGTAAATGTGAAATAATGCAGTAGGAACACATTTTAAGAAGGAACTTTTATCTCTCTTAATGTGCACGACCGTGTTGATTTTAGAACTTGTAATCTTCTTAATAAGCGGTCTCATATTTATTTTCGCTCACTTTATTTTGGAGGTTTTTTTTCCCCCCCAAACCAGGAGCATAGTTTGGACCTCACTAAATACTGCGCAATCTATCAAAGTCTCATGGAAAGCTGTGTAAAAACGTGTCTTTACAATTCAATAAAGTTCAATATGGGTTCATACTTTCAGAGATCTGTTATTTAACATGAAGTTTAGGAAGAGGAGGACGAGAACTGAGCATTATCAACCAACTGAAGGCAAAAATAATCGACTGTTGTATTGGATCACATTACATGGTGTCAATGTTGCCATTGTTGTGACCAGAGTGCATAAACACAAGATAAGACAATTCAAGATGATGCCCAAAACAAGAAGGAAGCCCATAAAGCTTTTTAATGGATGCACGGCTGGAGCTCGATGGACCACCGGGTCGTGTTCAAGATGCCTCTGTAAGCCTCAAGTATTAGCTGGCGATGACAGTTCCCCATATATAGCGCTCATCCTGATTGGTGATGACAGAATGGCATCCATAGCTCGCTGCTTTTGTAACTCAACCCAGTGGCTGCTGGTTCCCTAAGCCTTCAATTAGACAAGGGTATGATGCTTTACAAGCCAACAAACAACTGCTAGGAAGAGCACAAGTCCTTCAATTTTTTTTTGGGGGGGGGTCACTCCCAGTTGCTGTCTTTCAGATAGCGTTCCAATACTTTCACTCTCTTTGTGACCTTCAAGTACAGGTCCTAAGAAATCAATGAAGGTCTGCCATGAATCAAACAGAATCAGGAAAGCCTTTGGGGGAATGGCGCAAGGATGCGCTAGCTAGCCACGAGGACAGAAAACAGATTAAGCCATCAGATCATTGAGGTTAAGGGGCAAAGTGAATAATGATCAAATATGAATGAAGTGCAGAAGAGTAAGATGAGAAAAACGAAAGACGACCCCATGTGGAAGGGGATTAGGATGAGTGAGGAGGCATGGGCGGGATTTTAAAGGGGGAGAAAATGGGAGCCAGTGAATGTCCCTGAAATCCTTTTCTCTCAAAGCAGGATATGCTTTGATGTTTTATCTATAGAGTGACAAAGGCACAGAAAATGGAGCGAGCCGGTCTCTGACAAATCAGGGTACAGGCAGCAGCGACAGTCACGTGTGTGGGGGGGTGGGAAGAAGCTGGCGAGAAGGCGACAGTAAACCCCACGAAGGATGAAAGGGAAACATTATAAACAAGCGCAGAAAACGGGTCGAGAAGGAACTGGTCGGAAAGAAAGGTGAAAGGGAACAAGTGCGTTGACGGAATTCAAGGGATCGAACGGTCTGCGGCATGTGCCCGCTGTCGTTCTGCAGTGGTGACGACGGCTAATGCAGCATGGCGTGACGTCAGCCTTGCAGCAGGACTGTGCTTGAACACTGGCAGGCTAATATGTCCTCTGTGGCCCGAGATGAATTGGCAATGTTATAATTACAACATGTAGAGCGAGAGGGGGAGTCGTGAGAGGCACTTTATTCGGAGTGGTCACATCAATCACTTCCGTCACTTCTGCTTTTACTTCTCTTTAACAATGGCTTCCCTCAGGCGTAAACAAGAAAACGTGGGGGTAAGCTTTACGACTAAAATGCAAAAGCAGCCGTGGGAAGGCTTGAAAAACTGTCCACCTTCCACCTGCAGAAACTCTACTCCCTGCAGATTATTACTTCATTATTAAAGTGTGTTCACAAAGTTCCCATCATCTCCGGTTACGCTGGGAAGTCCTTGCTGCAGGGCACAGGTGCAAAACTTCGTGTTCATTCGTACAGTTTGGAGAGGATCGCACATCAGCGGCTTGACGTGCATCCGGGCATCTTTGGGAAATGAAACCTGAGGGCTCTATGTTCGTAGACAGCGCAGTTGGAACATTATGAATCTTGTTTTGCCTGTTCGGGAACCTCTCTGTTTGGCAGACAGCTGTGCGCCATGGTGGGCAATTTGGCATACTGAGGACGTTGCGTTTGCCGTGCCCCCGGCGCAGCTGACAATTTTATGGCTGAAATTAGACTAAGCGTTATGTGTGCTCCAACCAACTATTGGCACAGGTAATGTAAAGTGATTTGGGTTAATCTGATTGGGGTGTACGCAGACATATTCTACGCTTTGCGGACATGTGTGGTGAATGTCATTATCTTTTATTTGTAAATATAACAAGGACGTGCATCGAATCCTCTGAATCATAGCTAGAGATCATGATCATCTTTATTAAACAGTACTTTTAAAATCACACCCTGGTCACGGGAAGGCAGTCTCTCAGTGCCCATGGCACAGATCTGTCTCTCCCTGGCAAAATTTTCATCATTCGGCAGTAAACATTTGCTTGCACTTCCTTATATGTGCGTCGACCTGCTATGGGACAGAAGCAAATTCGATTTTTCTTTTGCCGTCTCAATTTTAAAGGCCGCATGAGAAACCACTTTGATTGGCGACAAATCAAGTCGGCTGTGTTCACGCCCACAACGGCGCAAAACACCGGTTTTCTTTTACCTTTGCCAAACTCCGTTTGCCTGCAAGATACCAAAACCCAGTCGAGTCCGCCCCTGCGTAGATTCAGACCGCGCCGCTCACTAGACATGCCCTGGTCTTGAAAAAAAGAGCCCTTTCTATAGGATGTAAATGAAGTCATACTGTAGTGAACAAAATGCTCACATCTTCTGCACTTGTGGACCATGTGAGAACAGCAGTGGGGGGATATAATTAAGTGGCCCCTCACAGAGAACTGGGCAGTGTTACACAAGTTTCAGATGACTCCTCTGCCTGTGTCCTTTCTACACTGCTGCATATAGAGGACAAGTATTTAGCACCTAATCGTCACAATGTATTTATATTTCAGGCTGCGCTCGTACGCTCTATTAGAGTTTTGTCGGAATCCTATTTGTTTTGGTTTGTGGTTTCTGTGACAGGTTTTAGTGATCAGTTAAGATGATTTTCTTTCACTAAACTTTGCAGGCTGGTTTCGGTCATCCATGTTCTTTGCATGGGGGACATCTTTTTTTGACTGCCAATGGAATAGACATACATCCTTTTTTTTCCTGTGTCACCCAGACAATATTAGCAGTGATTTGATTTGAGATCATCACTCTACTCCTTGTCATTTTGTTCTTGTTGTTTACAAGACCGTGGTAGTTTGGCACCTCTAAAGGTTTTAAATTGAGTCTCTTGGTCTAAATTGAAACATGTCTTCTGTGAAAACAGGAATATATGAGTAATTTTCAGCCAGAATGATGACACAACACTCTGCTGCTCTGGTGCTTGTATCCAGTCATTAAACTTTGGTTCATAAAGATTTTCAAGTCTGGCAAGTACTACCATATTTTCACTTGATTTTTGTCATGTCAACATACTGGGAGAATTGCTGCATTCTGTCAATGGATGAATGTGGGATGAATGTGTCATGGAAGCAAGCGGGTTTGGACTGGGAATGAAAATCACTTCTGACCGTTTCCTTCTGGCATCTGCTAGAATTACTCAACCACACGCAGCCACATTTTTATGATAATCCTTGTAAGGACACTAATACCTTCAAACCAACCATTACTTAAATGCACACAGTTTGAAAAAAAAAACATTGATCTTACAAGGTTTAAATCTTAAAGTGCTTTGCCCAGAGACAGATGTACAAGGGTTCTCTCACTGTAAATGTCAAACAGCCAACACATAAATCGTCTTCTGGGATGTTCACATTAAAACCCTATCTCCATCCAGCATTACACTTCATCTCACTATAATGCAAATTGGACAGTATACCTACTGTTACATGTTTTTCAATCACAGGGTGGCGTGGTAAAATACTCATTCGTGTGAACTCATAAATTCAAAGATAAAGGACAATAATGAGCAACATGCAGAAATGTGTGTTTTTCTTTTCTGGGCGTGTGGCTGTAGAAGACAAACTTTGAGAAACATTTTTTTTCTTGTATCTTTCCTCTTGTAATGAGTGGGGACACAATCTATACACAGCATCGTGTATAACTTCACCCTTATAGGGACCATGACATAAACAAAGAGAACTGAGCGTAAAATGACGTGAACTGAACTGAATGGAGGAACCTGATTTTCGAGTTATCGTTTTTGAGATTGTAAAGTTGCAAATTGGTCCTCTTAGTGGGAACATGAAATTCTTTTCCTTTGAACTTTTTTTTTTTTTTTTGCCTTCAGGCACATTGCTTTTCGCTGGCGGTGCACCATCTGTCAAAAAATGCTTAATCAGCTTTAATGGAACTTTAAAGACACACTACCGTTCATTTCTTGGCCTTGGGTCCTATCTCACACCCCTTCTATTAAATTGTCATCAGACTAAATCTAATAGGCTCCTGTATCCTGACACTTGCTATCTTATGCCAAGCTGTGATGACTAAACAAATCAACCAAGTGTCTTTGCTGTGCAGGACACGATTCAGCCTAATAGAAACAATTAGGCCTACCGCATATTAAACAGGTAGTTTTCACATCATAGGGGGGACCTTCACATTCAGACTGAAATGTAGAGTATCACGTGTGCCCATTATTGAGTCGACTTGGTTTCGAATGATGAATATTAGAGTGAGGGTTGCAATGTCAAATTTCATACCTCCGAGTTGAACCGAATTTGACAGACATTGCAGGAGATGATTGGGCGCTTTGTCCTCGCCATGGGATGCCCGAAGGTGTGCGTCATTACTGCCTTCTGGACCGGGTCCATCTGAAAAGGGTAAGTTAGCACAAAGGTCACTTGACAGATTCAACAACAGCGGATGAGATCAGGGGGTGCAGGTGACCGATGGGGAAGCTGCTAAAAGGAGAGATGTAAACAAGAAGCTTGAATTCGGGCAGAAGTGATTGATGTGGACAGCATGGGGGGGCGCGTGCTCGTTCGCAGCAGCTGTTGTTGTCTGCAGGGCCTCACTTCCTGGGTGCGGTTCAAATACTTTCATTCACATCGTGACTTCAAGGGCCTAATTATAGACTCCCGCCATTCAAAAAAAAATACGATATGTTTTGGGAAGACGCTGTAGTTCATAGATGAAATATGAAATCTAAAGTGTGTTTCTGTGTTTGTTGCTTTTAATGAAGATAAAAGATTAAGAAGGAAGGACTGGTATTGATGAGTGACATATTGTTGACAATGCAATTTTGTCTGAATTACTCTGCAGTTGAATCCGTCACACTTAATGCAGAAAAAAAAAAGGTCAGGGCCAAAAATCAGCCAATCTTATCAGCGCTGGAGCTCGGATGCAGGCTCCTTTACTGCATGTGAAGTCGCTGGTGCTTCCTTTTAGTATTCAGAAACACACAGACAGTGCGGGTGTTGCCCTCAGCAACCACCAAAAGTTCTCTGTGGTTTTACTCAGCCTATCATCTGCTGCCTCCACTCTGGACGCATGCAGCCAAAATGAAAGAGTGTTTACGCTCCGCAGCTGCAGACACCCGAGGAAAATGTGTTGCTCTGAAAAACCTGAATGCTGTTGGAATGTATTGTTGGCATATACAAGCTCTCTGTTTATTTTGGGCTTTTTTTTTTTTCGTCCTGTCGTCTCCCGGCTCTTCTCCCTTTCCCTTTGTGTAAGAAAATCATTGTCAGTCGATCTACTGAATGAATCAATGCATGCGTAATCTGAATAATGGAGCCAGTTCAAGGCACCTCCGGTCCCGTTTCAGTCCTCCGTTCATCATTTTCTAAATTTCAGTCAGTTCTCAACGGCCAGTAAAAGTAATTCATCATACAGATACCAAATGTGAATAAATGAGGTCACGCAAATACAAACTGAACATTGGCATTGGTTAAGACTCGAGATGCCAGGAGTGTTTGTCTGTACTCATCCATGTAAAAATGCTCCGATACTGCAACACCGAAACCGCTTCACCAACCTGACACGTATATTTCGAATAGAAGCCATGACAGCCGTGTGGCGATACTTTGAAGTAAATACGGACGGCGGCACTTTTAACTGACTGCAAGTTATGCCCTGCAAAATGGTTGATGATGCCTCTTTTTATTAAAACTCAGTACAACGATGGAACTCTAATAAATAACAATCAAGAAAATGTTTGGATACTACGTACGAAAACCTTCTGAAATTGTCATTGTAGGCCAGTGTGTTCAGAAGACCATTAAAGAACTCTATGAATGCAATCCAGTTTTTGTTTATTCATAATAAGATGGAGAGTAATTTGTGAAGGTCTGATGACATTAGCGGCCACACTCCACGTCCTCAACGACGCAGGATGAATCATAAACTCACACAGGGGTCGTTTTGCCCGAGCGCACGCAGATGACCGAGATGACGTGCGCATACGTGTTGGTCCCGTTGACCTTCACATGAAACTCAATCTGGAAATGAGAACCGGCAAATGCTGACTATGGAGAACTCAGCCCAGGTCGCTTATACAATTGATTAGCCGTAAGTCATTTTAGTGCTGTAGAACACTGACCAAGGCTTTTCTTTTTTTTTTTGTTTTTTGTGTTTGTTTTTAATGAGTCTCACTCTTAAATAAAAACTCACATCGCTGTCAAATAGTAGGAAAATATGTAAATCCTTTGTACTTGATGCTGGAGGCAAAGAGCCAACGCGAGCAAACACCAACTTGGTGTCCTCTCAGATTCCGTTTAACCACGTTAGCATCCACGCTTGGTGACATGACTCGGGCCACTTACTGTATTAAAGTTGGGGAAGAGACCCAGAGTTGCAGGGTGTGGCGACTCCAGGGGGAATTGTAGGAAGGGCTTCATGTCCAGAGGGGAAGGTGAGAGGACGGCTGGGCTCCTGAGGAAGGCAGGGACCGGCCCCGCTCGGTTTATACTTCCTGTACAAAAAAGGGAACATGAGATTAAAATGACAGATTTATAGATTATTCTCGCTCTTGACCAGAATTAGATTTCACCCCAGCTACTTGCAATATCTTGGACCGCAAACCGCTTTAAATGAATACAATTCTTCCTCTGACTCAACTCGGGATCTGTGAAAGTGGTTCGGCTGACGTTGGCAGTCAAGCTTTTGCGTTGACGTTTGTTAAATAACACTTGGAACTGAAAAGAAACCCGCAGGGCACAATGGATGGCTTCATGTTGATCTTTAATTTCAGAAGATGACTTGAGAATTTGGATCTGAACATGAATCTGAATTAAACCTTTGAGGACCTGCTAGAAAACTAACAAGGCGCAAAATGTCTCGCTTAAATGAAGACTCAGGGATGAATCCCAATTTCCGATTGATGAACAGCAGACGCTGATATCCCTTGAGAGCACCGCTGAACGATTTTGAAAAATAATCTCATTGCAGTTTTATCCCCTCAATACTACAAATGGGATTTTAATATGCACTATTTTCTTCCGAGGTCCTCTTCCCATGTATTTTTTTTTTTATTAACAAACACAAGCAATAAATGAATCTGTATTACAATAAATAATATGAGCGTCATCATGCAAACGTTTTGGTTTCATAGGTTAGCTTTAAGTGTTCACTACGACCACTTTGCAAAATTCCACCAGACAAGTGTGGCATCAACAAAAATCACTTTCGCTGTCCATGTTCCATTTAGCAATTGTATGTAAACATGTGGACTGCGCTTCTTGAGCACCGAATTTATCTCGAGACTCTATAAATAAATAAATGAATGAAATATCCATCCATGCATCATCCGAATGCATCCTAAGGGTCGCAGGTGTGCTGGAGCCTCTCAAGCTGTCTTTGGGCAGTAGGTACACCCTGAACCGAGTGCCAAAATGCATAAAATAAACCCTACCAACCCAACAAAATTCAGCTGTTATTTTGTTTTTTCCCCAAATTGCAGCATTTGTGATTTGAAACTCGCATTCAGCTACGACATCACAACGTCGACCTGAATTTAATGAATTGATCGGCCCTAATGGCCAGTCGTGTACTTTTTCGTTCATGTCTAGTCGATTTTATTGGGAATAAAAACCTGCGTTGAATGAAAAATGCTGATCCACTTCCTGCCCGCGCCTCTCCTCCCACGGCATCCCTTGCTCACTTTCCTCTCACTTGCAGCTCAGCCACAGTGGCTGCCTGTACTTAAGGACTCTTCTTGTGTGATGGGCAAAGGGGGGGGGTAAGCTTCTTAAGCCTCACAACTGGCGTGCTGCAGATATCTGCCTCCTCTCACTTTCTCTGCCGCTTCTTTCTGACATTGTTTTCTGTCCTCATTTCACGGTCTCTTATTCTGCTTGCCCGCATCCCGTGCTTTCTCACTTCCGCAGTGGTCCAACCTACACTGCTTGTTTTGTTTCTGCCTCTTTATCCCTGCCCCACTATTTTGCACGTTCCTCCCACTGTCAAGGCGCTTGGTGGGGAAACCTGCAACATGATCATGGTCCAATCAGACGGCACAAGAAATAATTTGTATGCCCCCCCCCTCCCCCGCCTCCTGAGACGATACGCAATCAGCATCTTTTATTGCTACTGCTTTGTGATGACTGCTTACTTATTGCTGTTAAATATGCAAAGAGAAATTGTTTCAGGGGAAACGGAAGAAATGCTATTTTGGTGACTTCAGACACGTTCTTTTCACTGATGGGGCAAGACGATGCGAAGAATGCAGAAACGGACAAAGGGGAAATGATTTTTTTCCTCTTTTTGCTCATCTTCAGATTATTTGAGCCCTTGCAACACTGGAGCAGTTGCTACATTCATGCAGAAAGTTTATTTTTACGGGGATGACAAACAGGGGAAATTCCTAAATTCCTCCTGATGCTTTCAAAGTCTGTGTCAGAATGCTCTAAAGCCAGAAATAACTGTACAGAATTTGGACATAACTGTTGATATGAAGTCGAAAGCATTTGGAATCCAATTCTGTTTCTTGAACCACCATCATGCAAGACATGACGTGTATTATATTTGACCGTTGCGTACCTCACAATAGCTCCATTCGATTCACTCATATCTCAAGGTTCAGGCACCAATGTGCATGAAAGGGTTAATTCCAGAAAAAGGACTGGCCTCAACAAGGGCTGTTGACTGAAAAAGAAAATGGATCCGAAGTTCTGTAAAGTAAATAAAAAAACTTTGGTCTCGACTCTGTTTCCCCCGCAGAAACCAAATGTGTGTCACACCCCTAATTACTTTCCATTGTATTCTTAAGTACCCATCAACGAATAGGTTCTTGCCCACTAACACAGACGCAACTGTCCTGCACAATCCCCTTTCAATGACTTGAACACCGACTAGCCCCTCCCCCCTCTCCCGAATCTCACACAGAAATTTCTTTTGTGTGCTTCCCCTCACAGAAACCAAATACTGTATGTGTCACACCCCTAATTACTTTCCATTGCATTCTTAAGTGCCCATCAACGACTGGGTTCTTGCCCAATAACACAGACACAACTGTCCTGCACAATCCCCTTTCAATGACTTGAGCACCGGCTAGCCCCTCCCCTCTCTCCCGAATCTCACACAGAAATTTCTTTTGTGTGGGAGAGCACAGCACATAACCTCAGAGTCCACTCAGACGTCGACCATGGCACATCTAAGAAGGATGGCTGCTCAGCAGGCCTTAGCAATGCTACAGAGCATGTCGGACTGCGATTCCGATGGTGGAAATGTTGGAAGAAGCCTGGCATTTCAGAACGAAAATGGCAACACCGATTCTTCAAGCGATGACAATGATCCAGCTGAGAATGTGAGTGTTTTTGCACCAGCAGATCGTCCCCTCCAAAGGCGCACCAGGAGACGGGTAGCCCAGTATGTGGTTGAGCAGGACAGTTCAAACACTGAGGCCTCATCTGATGAAGAGGAAGACACAATGTATGGCAACACTCCTCAAAGTAAAAAGCAAAAAGTCGGTCATGACGGCACACCGCCTGGATCCGCAGAGAGGGCGAAAGATGGCACTGTTTGGTTCCAATGGAAAGTTGGAGACTTGATTGCTGCTGAAACCCCACAAACTGCCTTCAACGGATCTGGAAGTCCAACAGAGTCAGTGAGACGAAAAATCACAAGTCGCCTTCAAAGTTTCCTGTGTTTGGTGGATGTAAACATGTTGCTGAGCATCAGAGAACACACACCCCGCGAGAGCCGCAGAATCAACCCCAACTGGCGGATGACTGTCCACGAGCTGATGGCGTTCCTCTCAATCCTTTTTCGAAGAGCGGCAATGGAGTTACATAGGTCCCAAGCGAGACATGTGGGCCAATAAGTTTGGCACCCCAGATATCAAACCCATTATGTCTCGTGATCGCTTTTACGAGATAAAGCGGTACCTCCGCTTTGACAACAAGGACACCCGCAGGGAACAACGCATACAAAATGACAAATTTTGTTGCAATTTCAGAAATCTGGCAGAAGTTCGTTCGGAACTGTAGATCATCCTACAGTCCAGGACAGCATGTCACTGTGGATGAGCAGTTGTTTCCGTCAAAGGTTCGCTGCCCCTTTCTGCAATACGTGGCATCCAAGCCTGACAAGTTTGGAATCAAATGTTGGATTGCAGCGGATCTGGACACTAACTCCATGTGTAATGCCATCCCCTACTTGGGAGAAGATCCCACTCGTCCAACGGGGAAAGAGGCTGTCAGAGAATATGAGACTGTGGATGCGTCCAAAAAAAAAAAAAGTTTGTCTTTTGAGCATCATGCATCAAAAAGTTGAAATTGTGGATGCCCGAAAACAAAAACCAAACACAGTTGATGATTACAATAATCTCAAATGCGGTGTCGACATCATGGACCACAAATTGCGCAATTACTCTGTGCGTGCAGGTACAAGGAGATGGCCGATGGCTGTGTTTTATAACCTCCTTGACATGGCTGCCACAAACGCACATGTTTTGTACACAGCATGTACAGGGTCAAAAGAAAGTCGCCGATTGTTCATGCTGGAGCTTTCAGAGGAGCTCAAAAGGAGACTGATGCAGGAAAAACAACAAGTGGAAGAGCGTAAACAGCTGAGCCGTGAGATGAAAGTTGAGAGTCAGCAGATAAAGACTTAAGTGCCAGGCACGCTTACACTGCAATAATAACAGAAGTACTCGGCGCTGTGCAGCCTGTGGCAAATTTACCTCTGGCAAATGTCGGCGGACTTCACCTTGGTTATGTGACAAATGCGAGATGCGAAGATTGTATGGAACAATTGTTTGCTTGAAACATTTGTCCCGCTTGGTGCATTTGTCCTTTTTTTTGTGCTTATCTTTGTGTGAAATAAAAATGGTCTTTTTCAAATGATACAGTTTGTTGTTTTTCTAAACTGAAATTGAAATGTGTGGGGTGCTAATTTTGTTCCTCTGTCCTCTAAAATTTTAGGATTGGCAGTATGCAAGTATGCCCTTCGTAAAATGACTGGCCATTATAAAAATCATTTTCATGGCAAATAAATAAATAAAAATGTTTCTTGAAAAGACAAAACAGGATGATTGTGGAGAGCCGTTGAGAATCAAACTCGCCCGGGACTGAGCATGCACAATTAGTAATTCAATGGAGACAAAGAGTATCTTGAGTGGAATTTGCAAGTTCTGGAAGAGGGAGGGGGGCATGGAGCAGAAGTGGAAAACACTGGGCCTTCTAATGAATAGAATAAATGGTTTGGAATGGTTATATTTGACATATACAGTAATGCCACTTCTTTATAAACAATGTGAACATTTCCTGGCACTTCGCTTTGATGATATATAGCAAAATGGATGATGTTGTGTGTACTGGCCGGTAAGTTGCTCAACCACTCAAAATCATAAACAGCTTGGATGACGTCATTATCCTCATTTTGATTTGGAGAATTTTTGATACAGCCCTCGTATTGGATCCGTGCCTCGTGCTCATTTTAAATGGTCTCGAACCATCGACTGCAAGTATCTAT